AATGATGAACTTACAAGAGAACGCAGAGTGATTAAATTACCAAAACGCTACGAAGACTATGTTCTACTAACGTACAATGAAGCTGTGAATGGGCCAGAAAGTGAACAATGGAAAGAAGCAATCGAAGAAGAGAAGGCATCTTTAACGAAAAACAATGCTTGGGTTCCTGTCGATAAATCACAAATTGAAGGAAAGAAAATTCTAACGAGCAAGTGGATATTCAAAGTAAAATCAGATGGTCGATATAAGGCACGTCTAGTCGTGCGTGGATGTCAACAACAATATGGAGTAGATTACTTTGAAACATTCAGTCCGGTAATAAACATAAGTTCATTAAGAATAATGTTTGCTTTAGGTGCCAAGAATAGCTACATAATGAAAAAATTCGACATAAAAACGGCTTTCCTGTATGGCGCATTACTTGATGAAATCTACATGCAATTACCAGAGGGATATGATGGAGACAATAAAATCTGTCGACTACAAAAGGCTCTTTATGGCTTGAAGCAAGCGCCATTACGATGGAATAAGCATTTCACAAGTGCGTTACAGATGTTCGGTTTAACAGCAATAAAAACAGAACCGTGTGTGTTCAGAAGTGAAAACGACGACCTATACTTAGGAATTTATGTAGACGATGGTATAATCATGGGCAATGACGAATCAAAAATCAATAAATTACTGGAAGAACTACACACAAAGTTTGAAATCGTTACACACGAAAATGTGAATTCATTTTTAGGTATCGATGTAATAACAAGGGATAACAAGGTTATACTCTGTCAAGAAAAATACACCAAATCAATCCTAAAAGACTTTCAAATGAGTGAAGCGAGGCCTGCCGATACACCGATCAACAGTGACCAGAAGGTTTTGTGCGAAAAATCAACAAAGAACTATCCGTATCGTGAAGCGATTGGCAGCTTGCTATATTTATCGAGTAAAACCAGACCAGATATATCATACGCAACTAACTACTTAAGCAGAAAAATAGAGAACCCAAGTACAGCAGACATCTCGAATGTCAAACAAATTTTTAGATATCTAAATACAATGAAAAGTAAAGGAATTGAGTTTAGCAACGAAGATGATAATGTGCATCTTATTGCATATTGTGATTCAGATTTTGCAGGCGACGTAGAGACTCGTAGAAGTACCACCGGGTATGTTATATATTACTGTGGCGGACCAATTTCGTGGTGTTCAAAGAAGCAGCCGTTGGTTTCGTTATCTACGACGGAAGCTGAATATATAGCAGCAGCAGATTGTGCGAAGGAATTGATTTATCTGAAAACGTTAATCGAAGAATTAGTGAGTGCTCAAGTGCAAATTACGTTAAACATTGATAATCAGAGTGCAATCAAATTAATTAACAATGGACAATTTACTAAACGCAGTAAGCATATAGACGTAAGGTATCATTTCCTATACGAAAAATTAAGAGAAGGTTTGCTAAAAATTCAATACTGCTCAACAGAAAATCAAATCGCAGATATATTTACTAAACCTTTGTGTAAAAATAAGTTCAACAAATTTAAAGATTTGCTTATTTGCGATGTTAAATAACCATAGAATATCTAAAACAGCTGTCATTTTGTTTTGTAATATTGTAAAACCAGTGAATCTCAACAATTAAGAGAAGGTGTTGAAAGTAATTGTTGGCATCTCTGCTACTTTAGTTTTAAAATATGTTGGCAATGTAGAAAACCAATAGTTGGTAGATAACTTGTACTTGTACTTGTACTTATTAGGTGTGTCAAATAAATTTTACTTTACCTAAAATAAAATAAATAAAACAATGGTAACAAAATGTTGGGTCACCACTACCATATTATTCCCATGGAATAAAGAGGGCACATGGAAATTTCTTTATCCAGAAACGTGGAAAAGGTGTGTATTAATAAACATTTTTCTGAAATTTGAAAGTGTATTTTCAGAAAAACCAAAAAAGTTTGACCAGTAAGAAATGTAACGAAGAACCCGGAACCATGGAAGCAGGTCCTTTCACTTCAACATTTTTGCTAAAATCTCGAATACTTGAAAAAACCAAGTTGTACTCAAAGAAGAAAATACAAATTTAAATGAAACCCTACAACTACAACAGTGTGAAAAAAAACTATTGTTCCAAGATATTAGTGGGGCTCACTTTTTAGTGTAGCTGGGCTGTGGAAATCATACCACCAGAATATCTATTATGTACGTTGATGAAGTTTCGATTAAATTTAAAATATTTTAAGTGTTTTAGATTTACAGTGAGTAGGTAACATGAAAATGCAAAACATTATCGTCACATTTATATGTGCTACTTGTAATGTTGTACGCGGGCCTTATGAGTAATATGAGTAATAGAGAGAAAAATTATCTTTTTATATCGACATGCTTCAAAGACATCACAAATGGCAGAATTGTGTTGGATTGCACGGAAATTGAAGGTGCAATTCCGCATTCCTTCAAAAAAGCTTTATCTTCTGATTACAAGCAGTGCAGCAACAACTTTTGAGAGTGATTTATTTCCAGGATCATTACATTAGACAAAGTGGCGTCATGCCTCATTTGAGAGAGCATTCCACTGTATTGTTCAAACTTGTGCACCACTAGATTTTCAATATGAGAATTAAAAAAATGTTTACCATTGGCCACTGATTAAATGAATTAAAATTAAGGAAGATGTACAAATAGTTTTATTTCATTTTCCATATGTGTAAATATCAATACATATTTAATTAAAAACTAAAATCACTTACTAAGAAAACTAACAGATAACAATACAATACTAACTGTTTTAATAATTTACCTAAAAGGTTACAAACATATTAAATTTGAATTGTTCTCCATTCTTACATCTATCGCAATTTAGGAGTCCACATGACAAAGATCTTTTCATCATAAGAACAAGTTCTTGTATTTAATGAAAAGCATGGTGTGACCTTTTCACATTTGAACTACCATCAAATATGAATTTTTGCTCATTCTTAATTCATCTAGTATTCTATGACCAAATGGATACTTTATTTCTGTAATCTACGACGTTGTCATTATGGCAGATTTACCATGTCCACTTTGGATTTCATAAGATCTTATGAATTCATTACGCTTTCTTCAGACACAGCGTTAATCCTGCGCGGTTCTATCTGAACGATTTGAAACATTTTCATGTAAATAAAAATAAGGTCCTCTTGAGAATCGCGCGATTACCGGCGTGTCGGAACAAGCACGCAAATAATAATTACTGCTATTTTCCATCGCGAACGCCAAAATTGACAAACGTGATTACCATGACATCCACTAGTATGGGCACTTGATAATTTTGAATTTTGTTTTATGAAAAATGCAAATAAAATCTGTTTGGACCGTTGTAGATTAAATTTTGAATGATACAATATGAACATTATTAATGAAACCTGTGGAACTAAAACTACGTGTTACACCTCGTGATTTTAACGTTACACGCGTTTCATTATGATGATTATATCGAACTTGTATCATTAATAACTAGTATCTGCTCCCACGAAGCCATACCTAAAGCCATACCTAAAAAACCATTCCCACAAAGTCATATTCTGGTTAGAATTAGTTTTACGTTCATCATTTAACTCGCGAGTTTAACTCCCACTGTATCCACTTTTATTCCATCTAAATTCCTTTCCTTTAGTCCAGAGAAATCCAAGCCAGAATCCACTTTATTCCGTATAAATTCCTTTTTTTTGGCGAAGAGGAATAGAAAGAAGCAGGACATCTAAAAACAATTTTTCAATTGGTTTAGTAAAAAAAAGTGCTATAATTTTCAGATAGGTACATTTATAATAATAAATTAATAATTTCCTGTGATCACAAAGAAGTAGCTTTAAAAACTCTTCTTATCTCATTATCTACTATCCAGGAATAAGAATAAGTTTGTATTGTTGGCATTTCTAGATTAATAGGTATTAATTGACGTTTGTTAATTTAAAGGTTGACAGTTTCAAATCGTATATCATCGGACAACCTCAAACAGACTCCTTTGACTCTGCAACTCACATACCCAGGCCATGTCCTTCACCATATTTATTTGCAATTAGCAGTCGGGTCTAAAGCCCCAGTCAGATAGGTGTAGTACGGTGCCGTTGCCTTGTTGTGCAGTGCGGGTCGGTGCTGTCATGTTGACATTTGCATTCACAATCACCGCAAAATTGGCCCGACTACACAAGTATGAACAACCAACAACAACGGCAGCAGCAAATTAGCTTTGACAGATCGTCACGACAAATATGTTGCACTTCCATTGGTACTTGCTAACTGGAGTGCAGAAAGTATCTGCATGGGGCTAAGTGTTTCATACACTGCTTATTTAAATAGAATTTAAAAATTGTGTGGAAATTAATCTTACCTGTTTAGTGCTTTCAATCTCATTCTCTGTTCGTGGCACCACATTGCACTTTCGGAAACAATTCCAACACGGAAACTGCGTTGTTTCAATAGATGAGATTGGCTCTTTCCATTAGGATACTGTATCAGTTTTTCTCTCGATTTTACGAATATTGTTATTTGCATACAGCAAAACAGCACAGATATGCTGTTACTAAATTGCCACTTGCTACAACTTCTTCGTTTAAATTAACCTAAAATAAAATGTTGAGTTACCTGCACTTATATCACATATTATTATAAAAAACCTTATGCAAAGCATTATTCCCTTACCTCCACTTGCATTTCTTTTCATACTTCCTTCATTCATTTATAAGCATTATTTGTTCATGTCCATTAAATAACACCGCAAGCACATTTCCACTAACTAGGTATATTCGCATTTACCAAACGCGGTAATTTCTTCAGAAAATGCTCGAAAAGGTCGGACAAGTTTATTAACGCCATGTTAGAAATAAGGTAAACAAACTCCCATCAGCTGTTTGGGGGTCGGGATAAGACGTGAATGACGTCACACTTTCGTAATAGTATTAAGTCCAAAATTAAAATACGATGGCAGCTGTTAGGTTGGCAATAAGCGAGTTTGGGACAAGAGACACTTGCAATAATGTAATTGTCAGAATGTATGTACGTTTTATCCGTTAATGTTTGTAATATACAAAATCGTCCTGAATAGCGTTTATCATTGCTCTCGGTATTTATCCATACCCATCCATTTACCACAATTGGCGACGAGGATAATTGGATTAAAGATAATTGGAAAGGATAATTGGTTAAAAGAAAAGGTCGATATTTTTTTTCAACATAACCTAATTGGACGCGTGCTCTAATTTTTCTAATACATATTTTTTTGGGTTACGTTCGTTACAACTTGGTGGAAAGATGCCAGCCGGTGTACAAAACGCTGTAGTTACTGACCCAGTTAGGCCAGCCGGTGCACAAAACGTTGTAGTTACTGACGCAGTCATGGGACACAGACCAATTGTAGGCTCGATGGCAGAATACAATCCAAAGGAAGATTGGGAGTTATATAAAGAGCGTTTGGATCAATTTTTTGAGGCGAACCAGATTACACATGCACCATATTGCACAGCGACACTCATCACGTTAATTGGAACATCAACGTACCGAATTTTGCGAGATTTATGCAGCCCAGTTTTGCCAAAGGAGAAGACATATGCGGAGCTTTGTCAATTGTTAAGACAGCATTTTACTCCAGCGGTAGCAGTATTTAAAGAGAGGATTGAATTCTATAGTGCAAAGCAAGAGGACGGAGAAACTATCAACGATTGGTATTTACGAATTAAAAGCTTAGCTTCAAATTGCAATTTTCATCATTTGGAAGACATCCTCAAAGACAAATTTGTCACGGGAATGTTGCCAGGCAGAATTTTAAGTCGTATTTGTGAAGAAGATCCAACCAAGAAAGATTTGGAAGCACTCAAAGTTTTAGCACAAAGTTTGGAGGTGACGCTGAAAGAGAGAGACAACATTCATTTTGTGGGGCGAAGAAAATCTTCACAGTTGCAGGGGAAATCTGGACAACAGAAACGAGAGGTGCCGTCAAGGAGTTTTCAACCGATTCAAAAATCTTCAAGTAAATTCCAGCCAGGGACTAATACGAGGTGCTACGCTTGTGGTGAGACAAATCATAATTATAAATTTTGTAAATATAAACGATATAAGTGTACTAACTGTTCAAAGTTTGGGCATATTAGTAAAGTATGTGCAATTAATATAAAAAAGCAACATTTTTTACAAGTTAACGATGAAGAAGTTGTTGAAACAGACGATTTTCCAGAGGCATTGTACAATCTATTTAAATTGAGCGATAAAGACATTGTAGATAGGCAAAGTTTATTTAGTATTCAGCTAGAAATAGAGAACATTAAATTTTGTTTTGAGGTAGATACGGGGGCTAGTGTGTCCATTTTGCCCGAAGGTATTTATAAGGAAAAATTGTCTATGATTCCATTAAGAAGATGTAATACTAGTTTACAATGTTATGATGGGAAAATGATTATTCCATTAGGATCGATAAGGGTAAACCTATGTTATCAAAATAACAATTTTATGACAACTTTGTTAATTGTAAATAGTAATGGTCCACCATTATTGGGTCGAGATCTGATAAGTAGATTAGGAATTAAGTTAGTGGAATTGAAAAACAATAATGTTTATAGTATTAACGTGGTAGGGAATTCTAAGAGCTTGAACGCTTTGTTAGATAAATATGAAATCATTTTTCGTGACGAGTTAGGAAAATTTTCCAAAAGTAAAGTTTCTATTACCGTTCCAGTTAATACAAAACCAATATTTTGCAAACCTTATAATATTCCATTTGCATACAAGGCCAAAGTTGAGCAAGAACTTGATAGATTAGAGAAAATTGGCGTAATTACAAAAGTCGAAACAAATAATTGGGGAACACCACTAGTTCCAATTATTAAGAAAGATAATTCAATTCGTTTATGTGCTAATTACAAAATAACTGTAAATAAGTTTTTAGATAACTTCAATTACCCAATACCTTTAATTGAAGATATATTTGTAGCATTACAAGGAGGTGTAGAATTTACCAAATTAGATTTAAGCCAAGCATATAATCAGCTCATAGTGGATGATCAGACAAAATCACTATTAGCGTGGAGTACTCACAAAGGAGTTTATTTAGTTGAACGATTACCATTTGGGGTGAAAACGGCATGTGCAATTTTTCAAAAAGAAATTGATACTATCTTAAAAGGGTTAAAAGGAGTGTGTTGTTTTATTGATGACATTATTATAACAGGTAGTACTCGCCAAGAACATTTGCAAAATTTAGAAGCAGTTTTAGTTAAGTTAGCCGCTTCTGGTATCAAAGTAAAGCTAGATAAATGTGAATTTTTTAAAAGTAAAATTAATTATCTAGGTTACGTTATTGATCGAGAGGGGTTACACAAAGATAATGCGAAAATTCAAGCAATTAAAAATGTAAATAGGCCTGAAAATGTAAATAGGCCTGAAAATGTCACTCAATTAAAAGCTTTTATAGGTATGGTCAATTATTATGGCCGATTCATAAAAAATTTGGCAAATATTCTAAAACCGTTGTATGAACTATTGCGTAAAGATGAAAAGTTTCGTTGGAACAAAAGTTGCGAGGAGGCAATGGAGAAAGCAAAGGATGCTATTAGTTCAGATAATGTACTGATACATTTCAATCCAAAGTTACCACTTCAGTTAGCTTGCGATGCTTCTATGTATGGCATTGGTGCGGTTTTGTCACATATTGACGAACAGGGAATGGAAAGACCAATAGCATTCACTTCAAGAATTTTATCGAAAGCTGAGCAAGGATATTCAATGTTAGATAAGGAAGCTTTAGCTATTTATTATGGAATTAAAAAATTTTCTCAATATTTGCTAGGACATTCATTTACGTTGCTTACCGATCATAAGCCGCTTGTATCATTATTTGGGGAAAATAAAGATATGCCTGCGTTAGCAGCAAGTCGATTACAGAGATGGGGTATATATATTAGTAATTACGATTATAAAATTAAGTACATAAAGGGAACACAAAATTCTAGTGCTGATGCATTATCTAGAATGCCATTAGTAGTAAATTTTGTAGAAAATCTAGATGTACACCCTCAGCTCAATTTTATTGAAACTGAAAAATTAGCAAACTTAAGTCAAATTCAACAAGAAACTCAAAATGATACAGTACTAAAGCAAGTATATAACTTTATAATGAGGGGGTGGCCTAAATATTTAAATAAAAACGATGTTGTATTAAAACCGTATTTTGACAAAAGGAATGAATTAACTGTAGAAGAGAACATTATCATGTTAGGATATAGAATAGTGATTCCTGAAATATTACGAAAAAGTATACTTGAGGAATTACATTCCACTCATTTAGGAATTAATAAAACCAAGAGTATAGCTAGATCATATTTTTGGTGGAGCACAATGAATAAAGAAATTGAAAATTTGATATTATCATGTGATGCTTGTTTGGTGAATAGACCAGAACCACAGAAATTAGTAAAACCATGGCCAAAAACAAATGAAGTTTTTGAGCGAATACATTTAGACTTTGCAGGACCGTTTAAGGATAAATATTTTTTAATCATAATTGATTCTTTCAGTAAATGGCCTGAAATATTTCAGTTAAATACAATTAATACAAAAATTACAATTGAAAAATTAAGGGAAACATTCGCTCGCTATGGAATTCCTAAAACAATCGTATCAGACAATGGAAGACAGTTCACATCATCGGAGATGAAAACCTTTTGCGAAAATAACGGCATTAAACATGTTTTTACACCACCTTACCATCCGAACAGCAATGGAGCAGCTGAAAACACAGTAAAAACCTTTAAAGCAAGTTTGAATAAAGCATTAAAGGATCCCAAATGCAGAAGTGCATCCATAGAAACACTGATATCAAGATATCTGTTGTGGTATAGGAATGCAATGCATAGCACAACAGGAGAATCACCAGCCCAAAAGATGTTTGGAAGGAAACTACGAATGAAGTTTGATAGGATTAGATCAAATAATAACATCGAACTGGAAGGCCAAGTAACAGACAAGAAGCAATGTTTGGTGGGGGCACAAGTTTATATAAGAGATTATAGAAATCCCAAAGAACAAAAATGGATTAGAGCATCGATAACAAAGAAGATCGGCGAGGTAATATATGAATGTGAAATTCCGGAAACCGGGACAACGCACAGAAGACATCGGGACCAGATAATACAAGTAGAAAAACATTCAAGGAGCACAGGAGACAAAGGGAAATCAAAAACTAAAAGGATAGGGTATGTACCGAAGACGATGGAAGAAAATAAGACGACATCAAATTTGGATGAGAGAAGCCACACGATTCAAGACGAAGTATTAGTTGAAGACGAAGTATTAGACAATATCGATCAAGGAATTGTTACTGCAAGTACACGACCAAAGCGTAATATTAGAAAGCCAGATAAGTTAGATTTATAGTTCGAAATAGAATTGTGAGGGGGTAGTGTTAGGTTGGCAATAAGCGAGTTTGGGACAAGAGACACTTGCAATAATGTAATTGTCAGAATGTATGTACGTTTTATCCGTTAATGTTTGTAATATACAAAATCGTCCTGAATAGCGTTTATCATTGCTCTCGGTATTTATCCATACCCATCCATTTACCACAGCAGCACTATCCATAAACTTGTTTTTTGTCAGCGCCGCACGGAAAACTACGGCAAGTGAGATAGAAATATAGATGTCGCCTTAGAAAAAGAAAGAGGACTTAAGGGTATCGCAATTTTATATACAGTTGCGCCTCTTTACTATTTTTCACTCAACGGTTAAGCGCAGTCTAGTTATAGCAAGTCTCTGGAGGTTAGGGTTAGAAATACCAACACAACGACGTTCGTAAAATGTTGTAACCTAAGGCGAATTTTGGCGACGAACGTGGTTTATCACTTTATAAACACGGTTAAAGCTGTGACGTCATCAACAACTGTCCTCGCCAAAATGAATTTTTCCATGTTTGATGTTTGTTGTTTGAACTTTGAAGTTTAAAATTTTGTGGTTATGTTTATTGTTTATGTTCTTATTTAATGCAATGAATCAGGAACAGAAATTACTTGTATTAGCAAGTCATTTACTTTTTGATGATGACAATAGCATCATTTTACAGTTATTGCATAACACAATTAATAATTATGGCATATGGGAAAATATATTGTTATGTGTCAGTAGACTAAGGGAAACGCACATCCGACCAGATGGATATTATGAAGATTGGCTACCTCATTATCTAGAAACAGATTTTTTTAGAATGTTTCGTAGGTATGTCACATACCACATTTGAGCAGCTGTTAAAGAAAGTATCTGTAAAAGTTCAAAAAAAGCATTTTCATGGAGGACATATACCAGTCCCACAAGGAAAGTGCTTATTAATCACGTTATGGTACCTAGGGAAAGCAGAAACATTTGTTTTTATTGCTGACAAATTTAATGTAAGCGAATCCACTGCGTTACATATTACTGAAACTTACATAACGGCTGTGGCAAGTTTAGCATCGGAATATATTACATGGCCTAATGCTGCAGAAGCTGTTGTTACAGAGCAACAATTTAGAGCAATGGCTGGATATCCTGGTAAGGTGATTTAGGTATATCTCTATAACTACTTACTTATCGACCTTTATGTTCAATTGATAGGAGTTATTGGAGCAATAGATGGATCCCATATCCCTTGTAAAGTGCCAGAAAAACATCAACTGAGCTATTTAAATAGGAAACATTCCCATTCCATAATACTTCAGGGAATCTGCAATGCAAATTGTATGTTTACCAATATTTTTGTTGGATTTCCTGGATCGGCTCATGATTCTAGAGTAAATAATTTTGCGTGGAAATTATACCTATAAAAACCTGATATTTTATAGGTATTTCAAAATAGCAGTTTCTACAAAAATTTAGAAGAGCTCGGGCCAAATACTTATTATTATAACAAGTAGGTATCATTTACTTGGAGATTCTGCATATTTCTTGAGGGACTGGTTAATTACTCCTTACATGTATGTTACGGTAATTTTTGTAAGAACTGATTTATTAGTCCTAACGTTTCAGTGATAATGGTCGGCTAACCAGAGCAGAATCAAATCATAACACAATTCATAGTCGTACAAGAGTAGTAATTGAAAATACATTTGGGAGACTAAAAGGAAGGTGGAGGATCCTTCAATATGTCAACGTATATAGTGTTAAAAAAGTAGTTCTAATAACTACAGCATGCTGTGTGTTACATAATTTTACATACTTGTCTAAAGATCACATATGGCCTGAAACCCATGTTGAGGACGATACATTTTATGCTAACAGTAGACCTGAAAAAAGTTCATTACAAAGCAATATGAAACGTAATTCCATAAAAGATTTATTAATGAGTAATGTCTAAAGCCCGTTTGTAACGATCATTTATTTAGTCAATTTTTAAGTAATTTTTTTAGGAACAAAAAAATTGAACATTTCATACATCAACTTTGATCAATTTTTTGGTACTTATTTTAGGAACTGAAAGTTGTCCTATTTTTGTAATGTTTAGAACCTGTCCTATTTTTCCCTCAATTTTTTAGTTACTTTTTACAGATTATAGGGAATTTGTAAATTTAAATGTTTTTTCTAACCTTAAATTATTGTCGGTATTAGTTCTTCGTCAGCGGCAGCAAGTGTTTAATAAAATAAAATTATAATCATTTTTATTAGTTTATGTTAAAAGGTGAAAATGTCTTGGAGCCAAGAACAAGTCTTACAACTTATCGACCTGTATAAAGCTAGACCCTGTTTGTACGCCGTCAAAACAACCGAATATAAGAACAAGCACATGAAATTAACAGCTTATCAGGAGATAGAACAAGGTCTACAGAGTCTTCGCCCAAAAACAACAACAGGGGAAATTAAATCTAAAATAAATGGTTTGCGAACAAACTTTCTAACGGAACATCGTAAATATAAATCGTCATTAAATAGTGGTGCTGGTGCAGAAGAGGTATGTTGACGTTATTTTAGAGGGATCTAATTAATATTGCTAGAATTAATTTATATAGGTTTATTATCCGACGTTATGGTATTATGAACACATGTTGTTCATTATAGACCACACAAATCCACGACCAGCAGTTGATTCAATAGCCACCCAACAAACTGCAGAGGACAACAGCCAGGTATATTATGTAAGTTAAAATATTTGACTTATGGGATAATTAATATATTACTCTAACCACAGGACGAAGAAAGTGACACATTCTTTCAAGACGACGATCAGTTTCAAATTGAGTATGTAGATGAAGGTGTGTCTGACACTCCTGTATCTGGTTCGTCTACACCAATTTTGTCAACACATTCAGTAAGCCAACAACCGCACAATGTAAACAACAAAAGGAAAAGAAAAATGGATGATGCATCATTAATAACAACTGCGAATGACACAATGGGAAAATTAGCCGTGGCAATTGGGGATATTGCAACACAACGCACACACAACAAACCATCCCAATCAGCACACAGATGTCTTAAAGGCATACAAAAGATGTCTGTTGCAGACATTTACAATGTCTGAAAGACATCCTTTTACGCCTTGGAGACATCTGAAAGACGTCTTATTGAGAGCTTATGTTAAAAATCCAGACGTCTTTAAAACGTTTTTCTAAGATACTATATTAGTCCAAAAAGACATAAAATGGGAAAATATGAGACATACTTAAGACGTTTTATTAAAATACTGTTTTGCTCTGAAAAGGTTAATGAATACAATGAAATGTCAAAATTGTACATATTTAAAATTTTAGTAAAGCACAGATTAAGGTGTTCTGCGGTATAAGTAAAAACATGTATCGTTAAGCAGTTTTTTTGTTTAATAAACTTGCACGTCTGTCACTAGCCCGCTTTAACCAAGTTTGGATTCCCACCTCTGCTTCACTTCTATTTTTCACAATACCGGCCTTTTCTGCGGCATCTAATGATAAGAAAGAAAACAATAATTCAATTTTAAAAATAATTTACACTTACATATAATAACTTTTGCGATTTTCAAGTTACTAAAAGGTTTTTTTCCTTTTCTTCCTAACCAGCTGTACTGTAACGCCATATCGTTACTCAAGCTAATAGTACTCGTTTCACAAAATTATACGAACTGCTACCTCCAATTTTCGCAAAATCTGTAACCTAAGCAGACATTATTTACAGTTATACATTTACTTAATGTAAGACAAAATTACCAGTAAGTCTAAGTCTTCTTCATTCTCCAGAATAGCGTCCAAGGTATCAAATTGTTCTCCCGATATTATCGGAAATACAATGTTTGTAAATTTCTTGGCAAAAGTTATTTCTTCTGGATTTTGCACGTTTCTCGTTCTGATGTATTGCTTTATTTCTTTTACTTCACTTAATATATCCATACATATTGCACGATTAATATGCACTTGTTCAGCAATAGATTTCAGGTATTTATCTGTAATAATTCAAGTATATGTAAATAATTAATTGTATAGCAATTCATACGAACAAAAAACACACAATTAAAATGTGCTGGTCTTTACTAAATCCCAAATGAGAATGTATTTGGTATGTATAAAGATTGGTCAGAAGTGGACATAACAGCAACCCAATTGAATGAGATTGACTTAGCTAATGCTTCAAAAAAATTATATTTTCAAAGTACTAAAGAAATTATATACAAAACTTTTAAAACATAAACCGATGCAAAAATACATATACTTTGTTTCAAGGGTGCTGAACCTTTCGTCACACTATCTGACGTCATAGCAAAATTAAGGCAGGTCGTAAATTAGTAAACTTGAAATCACGAATCTTTGTCCCTGCGTCATTGATTTGTGAATCAATTTCAGACAAGTTTTTTATCGATTTCGCATACTTGACAGATATTACAGTGTTTTAGCGTATGTCTGAAATTGATTCACAAATCAATGACGCAGGGACAAAGATTCGTGATTTCAAGAATAGTTGGTTTACATATTGTCACATTGACGTTTCAACTTATTTATTAAGGTGTCACTATCGTTCATCATTATTAAACCGCCCAAGTTGACAATCACTTGTAAGGCATCTGGTTCTGATAGGTTTTTTCCTGATCTTAGGTTTTATAATGGCTAAATGGTCATGTATTTTATGTAGAGGAAGTCCGTTGGTATGAATTAAACCTTTTCAACCGTTTGTAATCACCTCATGTAACCGATTCTTTGCACATCCAAATGGATACTGCCAGAGCATCCGAAACTCTTTGAGATGAAGTGTATAATGGTTACAGAAAACGCATAGGAACATTTGTAACTTAAAGTTTGTTTAGGCAGTTCGTAAATTAATATTTTGTTTACATAATGTTGATGTGAAATTAAGTATACTACCAATGTGAAGAATACGCGTTAAGTTGCGCGAATTTTAATGACCCTTAACTAGCCATTTGCAGAAGTAGAATAGGCCATGGTTTATCGGTAAGCCTTTTGCATTTATACATCTTCCAAATTTGAGATAAAGCGTAGTCATTATACCACTGGCTCATTGAAATAACAACGCATACATACAGTTTCTGTTCTTTTGCCACACAGTCGAGATATTCGCATAAGGATCTTGAATATCTTCTGATCCGATTTATTTAAAAAAAAACGCAATTGTGAAAGAAAACAGGTAGTGAAGAAAAAACTCTCAAATGTTCATATTCAAATCGTATGTACAAAAGACAAAAAGCGACACTACACCACAAATCCATCTTCTGATCCTGCATGGAGTATTAGGTATATACCGGACCCTTCACTACTTCTTTTTCTAACTGTTTTGAGAGTACCATCTTGCCAGCTTCTTCTAAAAGACCCTTTACTGTATATCCAGGTTTCGTCTAAAACCACAGGTCGTAATGGAAAGAGTGAAGTTTCGTTGTGTTTAAAGTCTCTCAAAAATTGTAGTCTTCTTTGAACTGCATAGGGCTGTTCCATTAAAAATAATCTATTGGAAACGGTGCATCTCCGCCACGTGAATTTCAGTTTCTTCAAACTGCGGGACAAAGAGGTACCAGATATTTCTACGCCATCAAGTCGTTGAAGATTACTGTGTAAGGAACGGAGTGTAACTTCTCACCTATAAAATCAATTCAATACCTAAGTGTTCTGGCGAACATCTTCATTCTGTGTATCGGTTCGTCATATTTACCTAATGGTAACGGGAATGACCTAAATTCATGATATGAGCGAATCGAACCATTATGTGGTAAAATTTTTAAAATACTTGTCTATTAACGGCGTTGCTGCACTGTCGACTTGCCTAAGCGTTTTTAACTTTGATGATATTTACTTCACTTTTAACACAAACTACCTAATCAACACTGGAAATCTGTCTATAACGAAAATCGTTTGACGGATTGATATTATGACAGATCAATTGGTTTATTTGTCACGACTTACGTTAATGACGTAATTTTTTTGTCTCAATCGATTTAAATGTAATGAAGAGAGAATCACATTTATGACGTCAGGTTCAGCACCAGTGAAACAAAGTATACCCTTTTCAACATTCAATTTACATCCGTAATTTTCATTTTCAACAATAGAGACCTCAGGATCTATAACTTAATTCCAAAACGTATGAAGAAAACACAAATTAAGTATTGTTTACCTATTGTACTTTCATATGGTTTTGGTGCTATTTGGATACTTTCCCCATTCCTTGTGTTATTTGGACGTTTTCGCTGTTGATTGCCCTTTCTTAGTATCTCACTGTTTCTTGAGTGATCTGAAAAAACGGAGAATGTAGGGTAGCAAAATTTAGAAGAAATTACTACCTTTCTGTTTTGGATTTTTTAGTTTTGGAGGTGATGGTAGCATTGTGTCGCTGCTTTCAGATTCACTACTGGAAATTATTTTTTTTTTCCTTTTTCGTTTGTTACAGTCTTCTGTGTCTGTATTTAAGTCGCTGGTGTTCTCAGCAACCTTTGCCTTTTGTCTAGCTATCCCATAATCATCTAAAAATAATTTTTTTATACACAAAATGTCTTAAATGTTCAGGTTCAATTACGGAATGTGCCGTCCCGGAAAATTTTCACGTGAAGCGTTGGCCAACAGGTGTTTAATGGATCGCCATTTTTTATAGAGTCGGATAGTTTGCTTGTTGGGTATGGTGGCCAGTGGCACAAATCTCCTATAATCCAATGTGAAGGGATTGCTTCGACAGTTGCATCGTCAAATAACACCACTGTCCACGATTTATCTTCCATTTATCTATATTATTACAATTACAGTGGTGTTTGGAAATTGTTCACAAGTCTCATGAGGAAAGTTATAATTAAAAAAAACAAGGCTACGTGTACCAGAATGTAAATATCTACAACATTGTATAACTACAAGAAAAACACAAAATTTCGATTTTATGACGAATTATATAGAACAAAGATTAGATAAGCCAAAGGACTTTTGTAAATGAATTGTATGATTATTATTATTATTACTATTATTACTCAGTATTCTCACCTTTAAGACTTGTGAACAAGATATCGTATTGATGCTAAAACTGATGCATTAATTAAACCTGCGTATGTATAATTGGAACAACAAAACTTTTGTGGGCTATTTTAAAATGAAGACATTTATAATCAACATTCTCAAATTCAAATAAACAATCACTATCAAAATCTGTTGATTTTGCTGCAAATATGCCTAAGTCTGATGATTCACACGGTGAACTATAGAGTGAAGTTAAACTTAAATATTTATTTCCCAGGAATTTAAACTCGTTCTGATTGAGAACAATGTCTTTAATAATTATGACATCCCCATTTTTTAGACGACAACAATTATCAGGTTCACGGGTAGTTAAAATAAAATTTGAATAAGCAACCGACTTTGAATGGCTTGTAATCTTCAGTTTTGTTAAAAGTGAAGTAGCATTCTGGTCACGTTTATAAATTGGACAATTTTTTTTTTCATAATTATAATTTTCGTTTTGCTTCTCAGAATGCCTTTTTACTATTTGCTGCAAAGGTTTCTCACATTTTCGTAATGACTTTAAAATGCTTTGGAGATGGTTTTCAAAAGGAAAAGCGCTAAAATTATCAAGTACCCCATGATACTTTACATCATCAGTTATATGAAGAAGATTATGCACATTGTGAGACATATTTTCTGGTCCATATAGAATTTTAAACGTTTTTACAAAATATTTCAGGAGTTCCGAAGCATATTCAATTTTTGTTGTATGTTGAGGATGAGACAAGATGATTACAGCTATATGCAAGGACAAAAAATTGATATATCTATCTCGGTTTATGTTACTTTGAAGAACTATGGGTCCAGTATATAATAAAAATTGGCGAAACTCTGTTGCTTTCCACCTTCTTATTTCATTTAAACCTCTGGGTTTCCTATTGAATTCAAGAGGGACATTCGGAGAACACTGTTTCAATAGAGAAGATATGTCTGAAATTTTTTGGAAAGCCAGTTTTGTTGACGGTTTCCCACAACACCAAAGTAATAACAATTTACGCATCACACCTAAACATATTAAGTGCATATAATCTAATGGAAAGCTACGGATCATGTCTATATATGGAATATTTTCAATTATAGATGTGCCAATGTGGTGGTCTTCATCAAATTTGGATCTGAACTGGGTATCAGTTCTGAGTTGTGGAACATCATTGACAGGAAAACACACACGATTCTCAATATAGCTACCCTCCACCGGACACTTGGTACAAGAAGAATAACCCGTGTGGCTTTTTATACATTTAACATATGCTTTGGCAGGTGCGTCGCAAATGATTCCTTTGATCCTAACTTGGAAAAGTGTTCCATTTATTACGATACCATTGTTAATAATATTAGTAGCATCATCCACAAATTCGGCTAAAAATGAATTTGAATTTTTTGGTTTTTCATAACCATGATAGACACCCACCATTTCTACGCTATTACAACCCACAATATTACACAGTATCGGATATACCTGGCTATTCGAGCTTTTCGAAAGTGGTAAACCATCTATGTTGATATTTATTTCTAATACACTTAGTTTGTCAGTAACATCGCCTGAAATGTTCACAAGTCTTTTCAAACAAGATCGTAACCCAAAGTGATAATATTCTCCTGGTTCGATAAGTTTAGTATGTATCGTTCTGGCCGTACCTAGCAATGTTCGGGCATCTAATGGTAAATTATCAGGAATTTGGGTTGTTTTCAGAAGCCGTAGTAGATCATTAATGGCGCCATGTGTAATGTTATGTTGCAGTGACCAATTTTTAAGCTTCGGCGTAATGTTATTATCACACAAGTTTTGAACATTCGCAATTTTGTCTGTAATGAAAGTTGAATCGCTCAAGCTGAAATTTTGACTTACTGGCAGAGCAGCTACATCATCGTAATCAGATACAGCTTGATCTAAATGATCCATTACCATCTCATCTATATTAATTAAGGAATCCTCTTTTTGATGTGAACTTAACGTGCACCGAGAAGTTGAAACTTTCTGTCTCTTAGCACGCATATAATATTTTTGAATATCATTTGTACGATTCATTTTGTAATAGTATACTCTACTTACGTGTGGAAATGAAGTACTTACAAAAAAAAAGGCCAATGAATTGTATTTGAGGTTAGATTTATCTGTAAAAGAAATTTAATACATTAGCACAATTTCAAATAGTAGGTGCATACCTAACTAATAACCTTTTGCAAATTACTTACCTTGAATTTGAGATAACAGAGTAAATAATTGATTCACAGCTAAAGAATTGCAGTTAGCGGGAAAATGAAAAAAACGCGGGCTTGTCATGTATAGATTATAGGTTAGGTATGTTACCAACCCAACCATCCATCATGAGATCAACGTTACCAACTACCATAAAATAAAACACTAAATTCAAATACAGATTTGTGACAGAAGGTTGAGAATCCTATCGTATATAATAAATAAAAATGAATGTTTGTATGTCTCTTATGCCTACCTAAACAGTTCATCCGATTGCGATGAAATTTTGTGAAATAGTTGGGTGTATGCCCGGGAATTGCTACATAATAAAAAAAAATTGTCTGTCTGTACGTATGAGATATCCCTTATGCGGTACGAAGTTCGCCGGGACAGCTAGTGTTATATAAAACTAATTAATTAATCAAAAACCTTACGATAAGCCGTACGCATTGATTGGTTGCAGACGTCTATACAACGTCTTTAAGACAGCTTAAGCTATTGTCTTAAGAACGTCTAATAGAAGATGTCGTAAAGACGTCTTTCTTAAACCCAAAGACGTCCAGTCCTAAAAACGTCATAATTTGTACATCTTAAAGACGTTGTGTGCTGTCTGGGATTAGAACGAGACCATTTGAACATTTTTGGAGATTTTGTAGTTAGCCGGCTGAGAATGTTAGTAGATAGGAATGTTTTGAATGATACGCAAGAACAAATTGTGCAACTTCTATTCAATGCAACTAGAGACTAGGACTCAATTAAGAAATATCTCATTTATAATGATAATGACTAATAAAAATAAATTCCACAACAATGTTTATTACAACCTCCATTTGAAATCAAGATCAGTTACATGTTATAGTTATTCACAGCTCTTTCTTGCCACTCAACGCTTCCAATATTTGAACAAAAGTACTGTTTAAATTCTTCCCGAATGTCCCTTGCATTCTGAGTCGATTTATTACCACCTTGTCTACTGATTTTATTTATGTCTTCTTTAGTACAATCATTTTCATTCAAGTCGGTGTATAAATTTCCATTTTCTGTAGCCAGATAATTATGTAGGGCCACACATGCAAGAGTAATTGTTTCAACTTTGGTGACTCGAAGATGTATAGGATTAAGCAAAACTCTAAATCTATTAGCTAAGATGCCAAAGGCATTTTCAATAATCCTCCGAGCTCTAGACAACCGGTAATTGAATATTCGTTCGTCATGAGATAAACCCCTAAATGGATATAGTTTCATAATTGCATCTTTGAGTGGGAACGCGTCGTCTGCAACAATTACATATGGTACTGGTCGTATTCTTCCTGGTAATGCTGTTGCAGGTGGAAAATTGAGACGGTTTGTGGACATTGCTGTTGCTAATGCAGAATCTTTGAACACTCCTCCATCGCTTACACGGCCATTACAACCAACATTAATGTATGAAAATTTATACCGAGCATCGGCTAAGGCTAATAGTACGATGCTGTGGTCCCCTTTATAATTGAAGAAATATGACCCATCGGACCTAGGAGGAGTAAATTTAATATGACGGCCATCTAGAGCACCTAAGCAATTTGGAAATTGCCATAGGTTATCAAACTCTTCTGCAATCGTCAACCATTCTCCCACGGTATCTGGTGTCTTAACATACTTTATGTGAAGATGTTTATATATTGCTTGAGCTACTTCAGGTATAAATCTAGATATGCTACTTTCATGCACTCGTGTAGAATACATTAAGGATCTATATGACTCCCCTGTTGCTAAGAATCGTAAAGTTATTTCCAGCCTGTCAACAAAAGTAAATGATGGGCAAGTACTAATCGAACATGAATATATATTACTAGGTACCTGGTCTTTGCAGAAATTGTTTCTTGCATGAATGTATCTGTCTTTTCAATGTCTTTTTTCAACATACTTAATAAATTATTAAATTGTTCTTTATTCATCCTCAAGTAAATCTTCTACAGCGAGTTCATCGTTTAACATTTGTAAAACTCCTGGTCCAAGAACTGTTCTGCGACTTAACCATTTCCGCACAGGTTTCCTTTTCATAACTTTTTTCGTTACTTTTTTATAGATTACTGCGGTTGTAACAACAGTAACCGCAGCAGCAAGGTTTAAAATTAACAAAAGATGATCATCTAATAAATTTATATTTATATTCATTTTTCAGTAGACAGACCTTAATTTAGAGAAGATAAATATTTAACTCTCCAGATTTAATATAACATATAGGTTATGTACAAACGTTTACATTTTACAGGTACTAAAAAATTGACAATATTATGGAATGTTACATACAGTTTCATCATTTATGACATTTTTAGGATAGCATTATCTTAATTGAAAGAAAAAATGACTAAAAATTTGACTAAATAAGTGATCGTTACAAACGGGCTTAAGGCTCGTTTGACACGTTACAATTTTTAAAACAGAAAATTGTTAACAAAATATAGCACAAAAACTTGAAGTAAAATTTTTTTGTAAAATTATTGAAGCTGTATGTCACGTAAACAAATCTTGTACAAAAGGTAGACAGAAATTTAAAAATTGGGCATGCGTAATTAAATATTGTATTCTATGATCCAGGGAAACATGTATTCTATGGTAGATGTTTCGTCTTTGCAACGTATACTATAACCTCAATTTAATTTTTATTTTTTAGCAAAGTTAGGTGTTACTGCGATTCAGAGAATGGACAATGATATGCTATATATTTATAGTGCCGCGTGTATTTCGGTGTTACTTATATTACTGAATAGAAACAAAACTACACGTAGGAGATGCAATCGTAAATTATGGAGTAGAGCTTGGTTAGAAAGAAGAAATCGAGATCAAGGTGTTTTAAGTACGGTAGTGAAATTGGCAGCGAAAAGTTAGCAGCGATTTTAGGAGGTTGCAACACTGTACCACTCTCGCGTTATAAACCACGCCCACTTAACCAGGGATTCTAAAATATTAAACCGAGATCATCTATAAGAAAATGTGATTTTAAAATGCGAGAACACTAAAATATAAATACACCCCTCAGTAAAATCGACTTACTTATTTTAAAAAAGCATTACAATCATCTGCACTATTAAACGAAATACCTATATTGAAAATATAATAACGACTCAGATTTAACACATAAGTGGCGTGTAAAGTGCGAAGAAACGCTTTTTAAAGCAGAAGATCTGCAAATAAAACAGCAAACTAATATAACTTAATAAAAGTTACGCTTTGAACTATTATCTATCTGTGGGGAAAATGCCAGCAGCGATTTTTCGCGCCCCATACCGCATTTACCTATCTCTTATCAGAACTAAGCCCCTAGGCCTGGTGCCCGAATGAGCTTCGGCATACACAATCAGGTGCCCTTGTAGATTAAGAAAAAAATTATATTTTGAAAATTCTATGTGGGGAACATGCCAGCAGCGATTTTCGGCGCCCAAAAACGCGTTTACGTATCCCTTATCAGAACTAAGCCCCTAGGCCTGGTGCCCGAATGAGCTTCGGCATACACAATCAGGTGCCCTTGTAGATTAAGAAAAAAATTATATTTTGAAAATTCTATGTGGGGAACATGCCAGCAGCGATTTTCGGCGCCCAAAAACGCATTTACCTATCTCTCATCAGAACTAAGCCCCTAGGCCTGGTGCCCGAATGAGCTTCGGCATACACAATCAGGTGCCCTTGTAGATTAAGAAAAAAATTACATTTTGAAAATTCTATGTGGGGAACATGCCAGCAGCGATTTTCGGCGCCCAAAAACGCGTTTACCTATCTCTTATCAGAACTAAGCCCCTAGGCCTGGTGCCCGAATGAGCTTCGGCATACACAATCAGGTGCCCTTGTAGATTAAGAAAAAAATTACATTTTGAAAATTCTATGTGGGGAACATGCCAGCAGCGATTTTCGGCGCCCAAAAACGCGTTTACGTATCCCTTATCAGAACTAAGCCCCTAGGCCTGGTGCCCGAATGAGCTTCGGCATACACAATCAGGTGCCCTTGTAGATTAAGAAAAAAATTACATTTTGAAAATTCTATGTGGGGAACATGCCAGCAGCGATTTTCGGCGCCCAAAAACGCATTTACCTATCTCTTATCAGAACTAAGCCCCTAGGCCTGGTGCCCGAATGAGCTTCGGCATACACAATCTGGTGCCCTTGTAGATTAAGAAAAAAATTACATTTTGAAAATTCTATGTGGGGAACATGCCAGCAGCGATTTTCGGCGCCCAAAAACGCGTTTACCTATCTCTTATCAGAACTAAGCCCCTAGGCCTGGTGCCCGAATGAGCTTCGGCATACACAATCTGGTGCCCTTGTAGATTAAGAAAAAAATTATATTTTGAAAATTCTATGTGGGGAACATGCCGGCAGCGATTTTCGTTGCTCCCATGACGTATTTACCACAAATTTATGAAAAAATGAAAAACATTGAAACAATGGTCATCTTCATGATACAAAAACAATTTATTTGTATTATTGGGCTTCTTGTGGTACTATTCCTTATGATTCATTTTCATATTCATTCATCTTACATTACTGTTTTTGTCAACATTGCGTACATTCTAATGAAAGTATTATGTTACAGGTGTCGCTTTTGCATATAGTAGCAGTAATTCAATCGCAGTAGATACCATATGGCAGTATCACACCATTGAGTAATTAAATATGAATCACACCTTGACTATCTCACTCTAACCTTTGAATAATTATTATTCAATGCCCTCACTACATTTGCGGCACAATTAATTCTTCAAGGGGCCGAGTAAGGTAGTGTTAAAAATGTACCGAAATGAACATGTGGTCATTGACCGATTGACAGCGCAACCCCAACCCGCCCGTGCCGATTAGTATGTTCTCAAAAGCAAATTTCATGGCGTACTTACTCGTTTGCTCATTGAAAATACATACAGTGTGAAAAAAATGGTGAACTATCCCCAATAATTTGGTATTTTTCAGGTTTTATGAAAAACGATCGAACGCGGCAGTTTAGTTTTTCATTTTTCTAAATTGCGATTAATTTTGTTTTTTAGTGCACTTTCGCTTTAAAAAATTAAAAAGTGCACTTTTTGGCTCTTGATGTCTGTCCGTCCGTCTGTCTGTCTGTCTGAGTCACAAAGGCTGCGGAACTACACCACTTACAGACTTGGTATTGGTATATCATTCAATCAGAAATTATTTCATGTTGGTATTCTCTTTAAGGCATGAAATCTCCATAATGGCTATTAAAATCGAAAAAACAAATTTGAAAGTACACTCATCGCCTCCTGATCACAAGCGGCTAATGAATACGTCTAGTGAGTAGTGTGGTGTCACCGTATGCGTTTTTACCGCTCCCGCTAAAACGCTCCTGTTTGACGGGATGATAAGAAAATATCACACGTTATTAAATGGTACCAGTCACATATATGCGGTTTCGCCGCACCAACAGGATGCAACCGCATCATATGCTGTCAAACCGCATCCGTTTTAGTAGGAGCGGTAAAAACGCATAGTGTGACACCACACTTACAAAACTTGACGTCATCGACATTTTTATTAAGGGCTCGTTTCATTCAAAAGCTAAAAAGCAACCTTATTTCTATTTTACATCATTGTAATAACAAAAGTCAAAATCCTTAAATCTCGCTTAAATGGCAAAACCATGGCATGTGATACATTATTAAGCGGCAGAGCAAAGCGATGCAAGCTTTATAGGGAAGTCGATGGTGTCTGTCTGTTCGTTTGTCCGTCTGTCCCTGAGCACGATAACTGTCAAACGCTTGGACCGATATGGTTCAAACTTTGCAGTTGACCTCTCTATGCCACAAGTAATAAGCCAATTGAAAATGGGTCAAATACAATGACTCAATCGGGTCACACCGAGGTGCTCTGCGGCTTTTTTTAAACGCTCTTTATGGGTTTAGTTGGTATGTTCTTAGATATTTGTGAGATTCTGTAGCGCCATTTAACATAGCGAGGGATTTGTCTTGAAGATTAACTTACATAATTTATTTGGCAAAAATGAACATCAGAATTGACAAGTTAAATGATGTAGGACGGTATCATATGTCATACACTCATACCTATATATACATACCGCGTGGTGCACGGTAAGTACGTAAGTAGGAACATAGGGATTTAATATGGGAAATTAATTTTATGCAATATCCTTCCCTCCTGTACATTTTACAGAAAAAACTGTAGAGTTTAAAGTTGTTCAGAATTAAAAGGTTCATACAAAACTGTTTTTACGTGTTTTTTATTAAGCTTACCCGCAAATTTAAAAATAAATTTCAACATTTCTGTTATTAGTAGCAAGTCATACAACAACCAACAACAAAAGTCATTGCTATTGCTACTATTAACAGAAATATTGAAATTTATTTTTAAATTTGCGGGTACACCAAAAGCTTAATAAAAAACACGTAAAAACAGTTTTGTATAAAGATTTTAATTCTGAACAACTTTACTACAGTTTTTTCTGTAAAATGTACAGGAGGCCAGGGTATTGCATAAAACTAATTTCTTATGTTAAATCCCTATGTTCCTACTTACCATGCACCACCCGGTATGTTGTTATCTTTAAAAACTGTCGACCTCATATTTATGATAGATAAATTCAATCAGAATTCAGAATGTAGACAATTGAAGAAATAAATTAACGTGTTCGAGCGTTTTTCATAAATCCTTAAGAATACCAAATTGTTAGGGCCATTACGGATAATCCATACTTTCTTTCCAAACGGGATAGGAACATTCATATAAGGTAAACTCGAGTTCTATATGTGTGATGAATGCAGTAAGTACAATAGTGTATGCAAGAATAGATAGACAGGAGAAAACATTACATAAGTACCTCTAAGTACGATCGCCGATTACTTACCCTTAACCGAAGTACTTCAAACAAATTTTACAAAGTACTTACTCATACAGCCTTACAACCTTGTCGCCTATACATTCTTGCTTTGTGGAAGATAAACATATACCTCAAAGAGACATTAGTGCGTACTCTATTCCACACCACCATTGAGGGTGAGTACCAGGCGCGTTTTTTTTAAGTGGTGTCCCCAGTAGGCCTAATCCACTGCACAATACCATTCAAATTTTAAAAAAAACGCCGCAAGGACGAAGTATTCTCTAACAAAAATGCAGACCCTCTCAATGGGTGCGAGCCTAAGCCCTTGCATTTTTACCTAACAATTTTGAAAAAAAACAGGGCGGGCGAGGCAAGGAGGACGTTTCCCTAACAAAAATGCAGACCCTCTCAATGGGTGCGAGTCTAAGCCCGTGCATTTTTTCCTAACAATTTTGAAAAAAAAACAGGGCGGGCGAGGCAAGGAGGACGTTTCCCTAACAAAAATGCAGACCCTCTCAATGGGTGCGAGCCTAAGCCCGTGCATTTTTACCTAACAATTTTGAAAAAAAACAGGGCGGGCGAGGCAAGGAGGACGTTTCCCTAACAAAAATGCAGACCCTCTCAATGGGTGCGAGCCTAAGCCCGTGCATTTTTTCCTAACAATTTTGAAAAAAAAACAGGGCGGGCGAGGCAAGGAGGACGTTTCCCTAACAAAAATGCAGACCCTCTCAATGGGTGCGAGTCTAAGCCCGTGCATTTTTTCCTAACAATTTTGAAAAAAAAAACAGGGCGGGCGAGGCAAGGAGGACGTTTCCCTAACAAAAATGCAGACCCTCTCAATGGGTGCGAGCCTAAGCCCGTGCATTTTTTCCTAACAATTTTGAAAAAAAACAGGGCGGGCGAGGCAAGGAGGACGTTTCCCTAACAAAAATGCAGACCCTCTCAATGGGTGCGAGCCTAAGCCCCTTGCATTTTTACCTAAGTTAGTTGAACCGTTGAGTGATTATATTTATCAATCAACTATTGAACGATGTGTGACTAGGCTTAATAAAATTAATCAGTGGAATACTAAGCACATATACTGTAATGAATAATGATCATGAACTTGCCGTCTGCATCATGCACAATCGACATTTAAACTGTATATTTTTAAATTTCGTTGCGTCATCAATTTTATAAATAGTATTATTTTGCAAGACACAATAAGAATGGGTCCATCTAGGACACATACAGCATTCAACCATTGTTTGTTCTGCAAACCGTGGAGCTTTCTCCCTGGAACAATGAATGCAAATATTAATCATATCGTTGGAATTAATTAATAAATATCTTTTAATGGTGTCTCTGTAAGTGGTTACAGAAAACGGCGGTGTGTTATTTTCAATAATACAGGTAGCTATGTATATACATATAGGACCGCAATTACAACCGTCCGTTTGTAAAACATGTTCAAGAACGTCACATGTCCAATTACTCGTTGAGATGTCGTTCGCCTTTAAAATTTTGTCAAACTTGCGCCAATATGTTCTAGTCTTTTCCAATTCTCTATTTTTAAGGGGATCATGTAATAAAATTTTTTATGGACAAGATCTGCGTAAATTAAACACCAGTGGTTCTGATTTTCGTGGACTACATACAAAAATTTTTCTATAGTTGGTTCAATTTTTGGAAAAGTTTCTCTAGTGAATATATCTATTTGTGTTGAAACATACTTGATGTTTGTCATTTTTCCTATAATCAAATCCAAGCAAATATCAATAACTTGATTAGTTATCCATTTGTTGGAATCTAAGGAGGCAAAATCAAGGGAGTCTATTTCAGTTAAAATACAATTAGTTTTTCCCGTGTAGATACCAACAATATAGCGAAAATCCCTATGTATGTAATAATTTATATTGTCAACTAAATGGTTTTCTAAAATTGGTAGCTGCAAAGTAGCTTCATTGCGAAACCCTGATAATTCCCAGTTCGAAAATATATCAAGATCTACTGTTTGACGCATGTCTGAATACGTGTCTTTACCAGGAGATATATTTTGTTCAAAAACATTCTCGCTGTCCTTTTTTTGAGGACTATCAGTATTTTTCGCATTTTGTGAATTAAATTCGAAATAGAATTCTGAAGGTGGGAGGTTTTCTAAGTAAATGCTTGATTCATCACACTCGATTAATGAATCTGTTTTATTGGGTATTAGTGTACTAGATAAAAATTTTTTATGTAAGTCGATCACTTGCGGAGCCACAGAAAATTTACTGATATACTTGTTTATGTCTTCAGTTCGTTTACCCCATTCCTCTTCCTTGGTTGTAATTGACGATTGATCTCCCGAAACTTTTATTCCACCCTTGCTTATATGTTTACTTGATTTTGTAACTAAACGGGTAGATTTGATTTTATTTGATTTTTTGCCTTTTCTAGTCGCTTTAAGTGGCACCTTTTCATGAATTAATCTCGGTGTAATTAATTCAGACATTCTACGAATATATCTGGCAGCTAAATTTCGCATTTTTCCTAAAAATATGTCCTTTTTTACTATTCTGAACCAACTTTCAACTACACCGTTATTATCACGAATGTACCCTAATTTCTTTATGATCAAGCCAGATATAATAGGATAATATGTTAACACGGATTCCAAAAGATATTTCATAAAATTGCTATTATAAAATATATTGTTTTCTCCTGTTTCATCTATATTTAAACCTAAGTTTTCTAAACTTTGCCATAAGGAGTAAAAATGTTTATAAAATGGGGAACATTGTTTTATTGTTTCGCCGTCGCGTATTGCTAACTCGGGTTTCCAGACATATTTGAGTTCTTGAAAAATGTATTGTCTTTGTGTTTTACGCTCAAAGGAGTTAATGTAAATAAACGATTGGTCAAAATGTACGCATTTAGTCTTTAATCCAAAAATCACATAAAGGTGTTTAAATAACTCAAACATATCTTTCAAGCTAGTACTGTTAATAATAATACTAAATGTTTTTTTGAACACCTCTCTTACTACAAATAATTTTGAAAATTTCTTACTGTTTGTTATACACAAATGATAAAAATGCGATGAACAAACATGAATTTTTACCAAAATATTTTCAAAGTATGCCGAAGATTTGATGGTTGAGTACCAGCACTCGATTAAATACTGTTTTAAGTCAATTTTATTAAAAGTTAGAAGAGCGGACTGTATTAAAGCCAAACTGAAATCGGTCTCAATGTTACCAATTATGTGTCTCTTTGATTTTCGTAGCTGGAAATATGTGTTACCAAAAACTGTGATCATATCTAGATGAAACGAATTCAAAAAATAGGCAAGTGCCGGAATATTTTGGGATGAAGAAATAAACTCGCAAATTGGAATGGGCGAGGTGGCGTTTTGGCTTTTCATGATTATCGCGTAATATAAGATTTTTTTCTTAATCCATTTGGGTCTACCAATCAAAGTTCCCGTAGCATCTAAGTATAAAGAAACGGGTTTTCTGTTTTTTATGACAAAGGCACGCAAATGTTTCAATTGGTTTTCGGTTACAAGTCTCACGAAAAATGGATCGTAACTTATGGTTTGAATGTAACCAGGGATTTTTTTGCCTGGAAATATTTTTTTAAGATAGGTTTGGAGTTTCTGAAGATGAAGAAAGGGGTCCGTATCAAGATCATATTTTTTATGCTGTTCGCTTGAAATTTTTCTCAATATAACGCTGTCAGGTGCATAATTTAAATTTCCAGCTAGCAAAACTTTATTATCACAAGCGTCAAGTTTTTTCAATTTTAAAATGCCGGGTGTCGTATATAAGAGTTCCCTACCTAACTTAGCTCTGTGAGAACCTTTAATAAATCGTCGATGCGCTTCATCAAAATGTTGAATTATCCCTACTTTAACAATGTTGATTTCCTTATCATTTGGCAAAGCTAAATTTTCTGTGCAAAAGAAAGTGAATTTTGCACATTTAGAATGCTTGCATTCTGCCTTAGCAAGGAAAGTAATTTTTCCGGGACGTTTCGGTTTATTTATTCTATGAAATTTAAATTTTAAGACACATAGGGGAAATATTTTTTCAAAGTATTTGTTCATGTGATCTGTCCAGCCACTTTTCATTACATTATTTTTTAAATCATACATTTTATTCCACGTTGTATTTCTTATAATAACACAATTTTTCATGGTGGCCTTAGATTCGTTCAACGGTAAAATTGTTTTAGATACATCATGATTTTTAGCTAACGATGGGATAGATTGATTGAACGCGGAAAGTGTACCGGCTTGATGCAGTGGTATAGCATCTTTATCTTTATGAAGACTTGATTCTCTCAACTGCGATTCGTAGATAATTCCTACATCGACGTCGGGTTTTTTCCATGAAGACTCGGGAGAATGGATGGAAACAGAAACTACATTCATCTGGTCAAGAGGTACATCACCGCTAAAGTTGTCTAAAATATCTGCACTAAACTTTTCGCCTAGGGGACCAAGAGATTGATTCGACTTGGGAGAATGGATGGAAACAGAAACTACATTAATCTGGTCAAAGGGTACATCACCGCTAAAGTTGTCTAAAATATCTGCACTAAACTTTTCGTCTAGGAGACCAAGAGATTGGTTCGAAGTGACGGGAAATATATCAGATTGATTATGAAATGATTCACCGAAGTTCTTACAACTAGATGCAATTACATAACGGGAATGTACAAGATCCCGAATATTATTCATGTTTCCATCCCATAACTTTTTAACATTTTTTAGCGCGCGTTTAACATTTTTCTTTATATATTCTTTGTCCTTGTTTGAGTTTGGGGCTAAAATTTGTACGTCTTGAAGTTTATCTAAGAATTTCTTACAATCAGGGCTCCTAATTTTAAAATTAATATCCTCCTCAGACCTAAAAGCATAAACTATACAATCTATTAAAACGTTAATATTAAATTGATCCTTTTCAAAAGGCATTTTAAAAACGTAAAAATAAATTTACCTACTTACTCTGTATTACACCTTATATTTGGAAAAGTTGATCGAAAGGTACTTACAGCTTACAAAACTCACTCCACCAATAATAGGAAGGTACAATGTTACACCGCGAAGGGTAAATTGATTCTGAACAATTATGGCAAAACTAATAATTTAGAAAGTTGCACAAGTAGCAAAAACCTGTTGCCAAATAGACAATATGTCGACCTGTTCATGAAACATAAAATCCTGTGTTGGAATTACCATACTACAACACTAGAGATTTCTTGAAAATACTTATTGTTACAATACTTTTTTAAATAGGTACTTACCTAATAATAATTTTTTTGATAAAAGAGTCTTGTAAGTTGAGATTCGTAAGAATTGCACACCTTTTTAGACAGTACAATTTAAGAAATAGTATCGTAAGTGGGTTAGTAAAAAATATACCGGGTGAATATACCAAAAGCGAACATAGGCAATTAACATGGGAAAAAGTTTTTTTGCAGATTATTGCTCCCCATGTTAAGGGTTTATATTGACACCAATTGAAATAAGATTTGTTTTTCTCATCTAATAAGATGCGAATACTTCTTCTGCATGGAAAACAAATCTTGTATATTTTGCGAGGGGCCTCTCACTCCTGAAATCATGTGTACATGTTCTATGAAATCCAGACGCAGTCCGCCTGCAATCCGCCGTGATTTTTGCAATCCACTGTATTCAGTGAAGTTCGGTGCAGTTTTCCCGCAGTTCAGTGCAATCAGGTGCAGTTCGTTGCAATCCGGCGCAGTTCGTTGCAATCCGGCGCAGTTCCCCCGCCGTTTGGTGCAATTCTTTCAATCTTTCCTGAAATACAAGGACTATAAAATACTGACGCAGTTCGCATCAATCCGTTCCGTTTCTCGCAATCCACACATTTCAGAGAAATCCGAGACAATCTTCCTACACTAAGGTGCAATCCGGTTCGTTGCACATTCCTTCTGTACTGAGCGCTTTCAAATGTCTACAGTGTTTCCGAATCGAGTTCACAATAATTACGAAGATTTGCGAAGTCTTCCTAAACAAAGCCAGCATGCATCTAGTGACTAGTCGTTGTTGAGCGAGTGATGTGCAAATTTCAATTGCCATTACCATTACTGAAGAAAACATGGGTGATGTCAATAAAAGCCTTGCAAACGTAAGTTTCCACATCTTTATGTCTCATATGACAGATATAATTGGCATAATAGGCAAATGAAAAATAAAAAAATTATTTTCCCTTGTGAAATGTTTCTGACTTTAAATAATATATGAAAAAAACATTTAAAAAAATTTCAACATCAGAGCAATCTCCGAGTACTTCCTGAGGATCTCGTTCATTGACGATAGCAGAATTAAAATTGGTATGGTGTGATTGCGAGTGTGATTGTTTTCTTTGCCGTAGTCAGCGGCAAAAGATAAAATTACGCGACGGCGTCAGCCTCGACGTCAGCATAACAATATTATGGTTATTTCGAGGATTAACTTTGCAGTTAATTCATATTTTGTTATAAATGTTAGTTCAATGATTTTCTTTTTATGAAAAATTACTTGAAAATGCATTTAAACTTTTATTTAGGAATATTTCCAACGTTTCCAATATTCTATTCGCAGCACTCTACCTACCTATTAGGTCTGTTCAAATCGAGATTCAAATTCAAGAATCAGGAGTTTAGACTATGCTATGTGTACTGAATGAAATAAAATGTCAGAAAAAAAATTGATTGTTACTCTCGTTATTACTTATGTACATTTATTTTGAATGATTTTATCATTAATATCACGTCCGTTGACAGAAATACATTTTGCTGCTCGACTTTGAAAAATGTAAATCTTTCAGGCGACAGGCGATGAATTTTGGAAGCTGATGGCTGATGCAGGCTTTCAACTTGAACCGCATCTGATAAATACACTTAATTTGATGGGCTATAATAACATGCATTCTCTGCGTGATTTCGGCGATCAAGATGAAGAACTTGTAAATAAGTTCATGGCCGAAAAGTTCCATCGGATTTTGGCAACAAAATTTAAAGATGACGAGGAAAAATTTAATCACGAATTAAGCAAATATTATGGCCCAGTATGGTCATTCATGCCCGAGTGTTATAAAATACTGGGCGGCCATTCAAAAACATTGAAAGCTGTGTCTGACAAACTGCGCAATACTTGCTATGGGGAAAAACATGGGACTCGGAGTAGCGGTGTAAAAGGCAGTTTGCCTTCAACTCGATCTTCAGCAACTTCGAATGCTTCGGAGACAATCGCAACATCCAAACATGACGAGGAACGAAAGAAGCTATCAAAAGTTGTCAACGAATGGATGTCGAAATCGAACTTTGGAAATTTTGACACCTCTGCTAGAGTTGAAGAGATTACCATTGCGGAAGATGGGGTGGGCTCTTTTATCGCTACAATTTCCTGTCCTACTTGCAATGAAAAGTGCAAAGTTAGTAAGAACCGAGGGAGATGGACCGCTTCAAATTTTTATAGGCACGTGGAAAGGAAGCATATAGTTGGTGCTGCAAAAGAAGTGATGAAGAAGAATCCAAGGACTGTGATGAGCATGTTTCTCAACAGTAAACCCTGTGCTACAGTACCTAACGCACCCTCGGACGCAGCTCGGAAGGACACGTGTCATGCCGTAGACTCCAATCCCTCGTCCAATCCTGAACTTTCTCGTAGCCAAGCTCCAGTTACTATGAGCGGCAAACCCGAAAGCAAACCTGAATGCAAAAATTCTGAAAGTATTAAACTCCGGGCCGAAATCTGTCTAGACTCGGATGAAGACGAATGTATTCCCATCAGTCAGAAACGTAAGAAAATGCAGCCCATTCCTGAAGATGAAGATGACACTGAAATAATCGCGGAAAGAATAGAAGATCAAAATTTTCAAGCAGAGAGGAAGTAACGGTGACCAGCCTTCCTCAATCGAAAATAAGAGACTGGTCACAATATTCACGTTCTATAAGAAACAGGAGGAAACTGGAACATGCCGCCGAGGAGTGTCAGAAAATCGATGTTTATTTCCCAATAATTCAGCAAATAGACAAAGTGTTGATGGAAAATCTGCAAATGAGGAAGCAGTTACATCTAGCAACGCAAAATGCTTTCAAAAATTCGCATGTGGATTTGACTGACAGTCTTGCTGACAGAACTAAAGTACTTTTGATGCTCTTAGAATGTGCTAAACATAACGCTGGCAGAAAACCTGGAGGATTAAGGTACAGTGCCACCATCAAGGAGTTGGGAACTCTGCTATTTACTCTCGGTGGTCCCACTTTATATGGAATTATTTGTTCAAACTTGCCCTTTCCATCAATTTCAAACGTCAGAAGAAATTTGCTATCAAATGCTCCGTTAACGGAGTGTGTTTTCAGGTTGAAAGAACTGAAAGAGCTTTTATTGAGAAGGAATTTGCCACTGCGGGTGTATGCAAGTGAAGATGGTACTGTTGTTACAGGACGTATACAGTACGATTCAAAATCAAACCAGTTAATTGGATTCGTACCGGCTCTTGATGATCGTGGTCTTCCAATAGCAGACAGCTTTCCTGCGACGTCTGCGACACAGATGCAAGAACATTTTAAACACAATGCAGTCAGTCGCATTGTTTACGTCATTATGGTACAGCCTTTGGAGAAAAGTGCAGCACCATTTTGTCTATCATTATTTGGAACAGATAACAAATTTGAGGCGTCACAGGTTACACGGCGGTGGAAATGGATGCTGAAAGCCGCAAAAGAAGAGGGTATAGAGATTACAGGTGTCTCTTCAGATGGAGATCCTAAGCTTTTAAGAGCTATGTATTGTGAAACTTTCGTAAAAGATCCTTCTCAAAAATGGCCATGGTTCAACGCCTTACTTGATCATTCACGCCCTGTGTTCATCCAAGATACAATCCACCTGCTTGTAAAGTTAAAATCAAAACTATTAATGCCGTCTGTGATCATCCCCATGGGAACGCATTTTATTGCATCCAGAGCACATATTGTGGAGCTCATCAACACTGTAAGTAAAGACCAGCATGAACTTACCATGTCCTTTCTCGACGTGAAGGACAAAATGAACTTTCGAGCCGCTCAAAAACTATGTGCCGAGAAAGTAACACATTTGATAAGAAATATCCCAGGAAGCGAGGCCACCGCCACTTACTTGGACATGATGAGGGACATAACAGCTGTCTTCCTAGATCCTCAATTGCAACCGCTTCAGCGTGTCAAAATAATGTGGCATTGGCTATTTTTTTTAAGATTATGGAGGAAATGGATATCAAACCACGAAGCGTACTCTCTTAGTCATAATTTCATCACGGCTAACAGTTACACCTGTATAGAGTTAAATGCTCATGGCTTGATAAATCTGATAAGAAAATGTAGGTATACTCAAGAACCGCAGCTTTTCATGCCTTGGCTGTGCAGTAGTCAGCCTTGTGAGGACTTTTTCCGCAGAACTAGATCTTTGACCTCAACTAATAGTACAATCACAAATTTCAGTATTTTGGAAATTGTTCAGCGCATTCGAAGAATTGAATTCATTGGAGATAGTTTTGAAAATTTGAAAGAAACAGTGAATTTCCCCAAAATGCAGAAACTGTATAGACAATCAACAGAGCAACCAAATATAATACACGCTATGCCCGAAGACTATGCGATTGAACGGACCGTCCAAGCAGCCTACGAGTCTGCGTTAAAAGTATGCGTGCAATTTGGAATAGCACAGCGAAATGAGCAATGCCCATCTTCAGCTTTACCAAGAATAGATTCCACCGACACCGAGACCGATACACCTGAAATTCCAAAAGACGACGATGACAGGCTCACTGATGAATGTCAGATTTCCGCCGTACTTGACGAGACGAATACTTCTGAGGATTCATCCCATCCTAGCGCAACCAACGAAATCCGGGACGATACCAGAGTTCAATTGGGAATTGGAAACAATGACGATGAAGAAAACGATGTCATGGAAGACCTCGTAGTTCTGTCTTCAGGGACTATAGGACTTCAAACGTATACCAATGTCTCGCTAGCTCCTGAAAGTCCATTTGTGAAAGTTTTGGATGGAAACGGGATTACTCGTATTGTTAGAAAAAGTTCTTACTGTTGGTTCCTAATGGACGGTGATACCTCT